GGAGCGGCTACCCCGAGCTGCGCCGTATCCGTTTCCCGCTACAAGCAGCGGAGCAAGGATTTACGGTGTAAACACAGCGTATTAAAACATCTAACCTTTGCTCGGATCACCTTCACCGATGTTTTTCTGTGTGTGTTAGCTTTTAAAAAAATAATACTCTCGGTCTTCCGAGCGCACAGAACATCTTAAAAGCTTCTCCGGGCCATCAATTATTCAGCCCCATTGAGGGAGCTATCAGTCCTAATGAATTGAGCCGGATGCATTCCCTCCCAGTGACTCGCCGAGATTGCGCCGCGCTCCCGTATCTGCCGTCCTCAGAGTTGTCGGGTCGTCTCTGCCCGTCGCCGGCGCGCTGTTTGCAGTAAATCATTTAGACAAACACAGCCACGCTGGGGACGGAGCTGGCCAATTGCCTTCCGCTGCCTCGCCAGGGTATTTACGGGCTGGATTTTACTCTGATCCCCCTCCCGTCCGCCACTTTCTTATTAGGAATCAGGTTAGCAGGAGAGTGCACCAAGCTGATTAGGGATGCTACCACTTGAGTAGCTAATGCTGCTCTCCAAGGCTTTGAGAAGGGAAATGGGATGTGGATAACCTGTCTGAGGGTGGTGTGGCGTGGTCCCTCTCCTCTCAGGTCTGCGGTGCAGCTTTCCTCGCCTCTACACAAAATCTGCATCCTGGGGGCCCTAGGACTTGGGTAGAGCAAATGTTGGTCTTCCCTGGGTGTACGGGACAGGCAGGGCTGGTGTGGAGCAACCATCCCTAGGGACGTGTATGTGGGGTTAAATAACGAGAGGTGCCGTAGGGGGATGCAGGATGCTGAAGTTCAGCTGAGGATCCGTATATTCTGGGAAGCAACCGCTAGCGAACCTTTCCGAGCCGGGATTTACTGCCGTGATTAGTGGCCGGTGGCAGGTGGAGGAAGGCAAGCGGGTGGAAGCGCGGTGCGGGCCGGCGGCCCAGACATCTTCATCCTGCCTGCAGCACGGCGGCCGAGATTTACGCCCGGCCCCGCTCGCTGCCTGCCTTATTTGCGCTGGCCATCAGCTAAAAGGCCTGCAGAGAAGCATTGCAATGGCCCTAGAAGACAGTGGGAGCTTGAGTGAATAAATATAAGTGCGAGGAGCACGGGACGGCGCGGAGCGCTGTAAAGCTTTTATTGCCACAAGTGCCTGGCGACCGCATTAAGTGCCACAAGTGAGTTACATTGCTCTTTCCGAGCACGCAGTAGTAAAAGCTTCACAGCTCCCCACAGGGAGCGGGGATGTGCCACGATGATGAACCCCTCCAGACCTTGGCTGCGGTGGTCGGGCTCCGTGGTGGACAGGGAGACCCTCGCATGGTGCCATCTCCTGCGTGAGAGAGCCTGGAGGAAGGAGAAGAGCAGTGGGGAGTGAACTGGGAAGGAGAGGGAAGCTGCAGGCTCCAGTTGCAGGGAGCGCTCCTTGCCAAGGGAGCCCACCCTTTTCCCGGGGAGCGGCCGGCGGGGCGTGTTCGGAGGATCCACAAGCCCGTCCCTGCTCTGCACTCGACTGCAGTGCATTCCCAATTAATTATTCATTAATTATGGAAAACAGGCAGCGCTGGCTCCCTGGCTCCCGGCGCCTTTTTCTGGTGGCCGGCGCAGGGACGGGCCGGCCCAGGGATGTGCGTGGTGGTGCAGGGAGATGCTGCTACACCCATTCAAGGGGGCAGTGTGTTTCTGCCGAGGGGACGATTGGCAGCCTGCTAATTTAATTATGGAGGCTGCGGAAAGAGGATCTCATCTACCAGGTGCTGAGCCTTGTTAAGCTAATTGTCTCCCTCTCTCCGCTTTCCTCCCCCTCCCACGTTGCCAGAGATGCTGCGGTTGCCTAATTAAGTTATCAGAAAGATAATGGCTGGTTCTGAATCCGGTGCCTTTAAGAAAAGCATCCATCTAATAACTGCTTCGCTGCGAGCAGATAGAAACGCTGAGGCGGGATTTCGGCTGGCGTGGGCCCGGGGGTGTGCCCGGGGCCTTCCTCAGGGCTTTCCCCAAAGCAGGGCCCGTGCTGCTCGGGACGTCGGTGTTTCCCCATCCCGCTCTTAGTGTGGTGGGAGATGTCTTCCTGCTGTCCTCTGCTCGGCAGCACCTTCCACTCTTCCCCGTGTTCCTGGTGGAAAACCAAAGCCTGCCTTAGTTTTTGGGCAGCCAATCTGGGGTAATTCTCTTCCCGGAGCAGCATCTCCCCCATCCCCGCTGTGGTCCATCCCTCCTGGATGAAGGCTTTCCCTGGGCGGGCTCTCCATCATTCTCTGCCTCTCCCGTCCACAGTCCCGCCGCTGATCCAGCCCTTCGAGTTCCCGCCGGCCTCCATCGGGCAGCTCCTCTACATCCCCTGCGTGGTCTCCTCCGGGGACATGCCCATCCACATCACCTGGAGGAAGGACGGCCACGTCATCCTCTCGGGCTCCGGCGTCACCATCGAGAGCAAGGAGTTCATGAGCTCCCTGCAGATCTCCAGCGTCTCCCTCAAGCACAATGGCAACTACACCTGCATCGCCAGCAACGACGCCGCCACCGTCAGCCGGGAGCGGCAGCTCATCGTGCGGGGTGAGTGCCATGGGGACGGCCCAGAGCCCTCCCCAGTGGGTGGATGGTGCCAAAGGGGTGGCACGGCCGGGAGAGACCCAAATTACAAGGCTGGAGGAAGACAGCAGTGCTCTGTGGCTGAAGGAGCAGTGCAGAAGCAGGCAGGGAGGGTGAAGAAGCAGGGCTGAGCCCAAGCAGCCGCGTGCCCATGGGCAGGAAGGAGCTGATGGGGTTTCTAGTACAGCATCGGTCTTTTTCTCTCGAATTACCCAGTGCCTCCTCGTTTTGTGGTCCAACCCAACAACCAAGACGGCATTTACGGCAAAGCCGGCGTGCTGAATTGCTCCGTTGACGGGTACCCCCCTCCGAAAGTCATGTGGAAACACGCTAAAGGTAGGGCTGAGCCGTGGTGCGGGTGGGGGAGAGTCCCCTGGGTGGCCACCCTGTACCTCGGCTGAGCGCTGTGTCCCCCCAGGAAGCGGCAACCCCCAGCAGTACCACCCCATCCCCCTGACGGGCCGCATCCAGATCCTGCCCAACAGCTCGCTGCTCATCCGCCACGTGCTGGAGGAGGACATCGGCTACTACCTCTGCCAGGCCAGCAACGGCGTGGGCACCGACATCAGCAAGTCCATGTTCCTCACCGTGAAGAGTGAGTACCCCGGGCCACCGTGAGGGCCACAGCAGGGGCTTGGGGAGCTGTGGGGTCCAGCCTGGCTCTGCCCCGGACACTGCGCATCCCCGTGATCGATGTGCAAGGCACGGGGAGGGCGTTGATTCCTCCCCTCCAGGGACCCGCTTCCCTTTTGCTATTAGACACACTTTGGCCTTATCAAAACCCGGCAATCAATCTACATCATACAGGAGGAAAGGAAATAGCTGGGCTAATTCGATAGGGGTGGGCTGGGAAGTGTTGTTAGACACCGTGTTTGAACTGCGTTTATTATTGGATTCCTCTCCCGTTGCTATCAGCAGAATACATAATCCCCAGCTCCTCTTTATTTGTTTTGATTGTGGCTGCTGGGAGCCATCAGACCTCAAAAAGGAGGTGATGGAGGGGACCTTGCTACTGCAGCAGCTCCTGTGTGTATCCAAAGGCCAAATTCTGCCCTGCCCATACAGGGAGGGACAATGGCAACCACCACCCCCTGCTTGTCCCCTGGGCAGGATGCTGGTGGGCAGAGGGGACGCTCAGCCTTCCCCGAGTGCCCCCGTGTCCAGGCGAGGGTCTCACACCCAGGGAATGAGTCGGGACAAGGCAGCCTCTCGCTGCCTCCCTTCCACAGCCAATGCTTGGTTTTCTGGCCCGGGCAGGCGCTTCTCTCCCCACCCAGCCTCTGCTTTCCTGGGTTTCTGCCCCCCTCCCTGTCAGCTGCTTAATTTATCCCCGCTGCCTGATGAATCAAAACGAGCGACTTCAAACAAGGCACTTCAATGAGGCGCAGGTACAAAGTCGAGGCGATTAATCCCGAGTGAGCGCGCAGAAGCCTGGGAGCCTGCACCGGCGCCGTGTCCCCGCTCTCTGCTGTAATTGCATCCCAGGACAGGTTGCTTGCTGACTTGAATAGCACATAACCTTATTATGCATGTGCTTTTACATTTCCCGGAGACCTCGCAGCCTTTGAAAAGGCTTGGATGAATAGGTAGACGAAGCGCCACAGCCAATTAAGCATTATATGGGGCTCTTTGTTTTGGTTCATTTTGGGGTTTTTGTTTGTTTGGCGAAATGTCAGGCCAATTAAAGCGAGATCAGCGCCGGCTTTCCTGGAAAGTCAGGCCGCTGCGGACGGAGTTAAATGAGAAGTTAATCAGAGCCCAAACACAGCGGCTGGCGGTGGGTCTGCGGGGGACAGCCCAGGTCCCCTTCCCTGATGCCACAGTGATGGGCTGAGGCTTTCCCGTTGCTTCCCAGTGTCTGGATTTCCCGTGCCCTTCCTTGCTTTGGAAGGAAACTCATTGAGGGGATTGCAGAGCGTAAGGTGTTGGATGCTGGAGCTGGAGCGTGCCCCCCAGGGGGGACGGCTCGCTGGGCTGGGCGCAGGTGAGGAGGCCACCAGCGCGTGATAAATGCCATTTAGCACATGGCTGGGCACATCCCTGGGTGTCGAGAGCACAGCGTGAGGGATGGACAGGACCCTCGGGGGGTCCCCACAGGTGGGCACATCCCTGGGTGTCGAGAGCACAGCGTGAGGGATGGACAGGACCCTTGGGGGGTCGAGTGGGGGACAGAGGGTGCTGCACCATGGACCTCCCCTGCACCGTGGGTCCGGCTCTGGGGTGGGAGAGGGGCACGTCGGGGGCGCAGGGACAGACGTATTTGGAAGTTGGCTGCTGTACGGCAAGAGCATAACTGATTGCTTCCATGCAATTTGAATTAATCTCATGCTTCAGGTGAAACTCAGCTAATCAGTGTAGAAAGGAAGCTGAAACGGGCGCAATCAAATTAACATCACAGAGCCGGCTCCAAACAAGAAAGAGGGGGGCGCGGGAGGCGGGCGCAGCCCTTGTCACCCTTGTCACCGTTCTCATTCGGTTGTCACCGGCGGCTGGGGGCCCAGCCCGGGATGCTGACACCTCCCTTTGTAGCCAGCCTTATCTCTGCCCGGCAGCGGGCCCGGGTGCTTGTTGGAGCCTTGTTAACAAGGCCCATGGATGCGGGGGAAGCACGAGTGGGTGCAGGAAGGGTTGGAGGCGAGCTCTTCTCCAGGGAAGCTGATGCTCTGGCAGGCAGGGACCAGCGTCACCGATGGCCTTGCACCCAGGAATTGGGGTATGGGAGAAGTCTCTGCAGCCCTCAGAGGGTCCCGTGGCCGGTCCTGGGTGATGCTGTCCCTCCACAAGCAGCAGAACCGCTCCAGGATGGGTATCGGGTACCGGGATGTAGGAGGTGACACCGCTGTGTCCTGGTCTGTGCAGCTGCGTGGGGTTTTCTCGTGGTTTGCTTTTCCGCTCCCCCTGCTCTGGGCTGCTTTGCCGCTCTCCTGGGGCCCAGGCAATTGAGAGAAGTCACTGTGTTTACATCCAAGGAGCTGCTTTTAATCAAACATCAATAAGTGCATTTCGGCAGAGCAGGGGCTGAAACGGAGCTCCTCTCCGGGGGCCGACGGTGCTGCCACGGGGCTGTCCTGCCCCTTTGGCCCCCGCGCACACCCCCTGTGCTGCAGCGGCCTCCAGATTGGGCTGAGTGAGGGCTGGATGCAGGGCAGCACCCCCATGGGCACCACTGTTCCCCAGCCACGGGGGTGCCTGCCCTGCACCCCACAAAACCGACCAGATCGCGAGGAAAGGTTTCCTCGGCTGTTAATTGAATTACATTGCCACAGAAAGCCGAGAAGTCGTAGCTCATTAGAGCCTCTTGTGTCCCATTATAACAGTGTGTGTTGCCTTTGCGGATCGTCATTATCATATATTACTGCGGGACTCGGCAGCGCTGTTTGTTTATGCATTACATTTTTTTCTGCTTACCCAGGCTGCCCCCAGCCCCTTCATCCTCCTGCGCCGTGACCGGGCTCGACTCTTCCCAGGACCAGCGGCCCCAGTGCCCGCGGTGGCAGCTTCGTGCTGGGGCTGCGGGCACTCGGCCTCGCTGCGTTGTCCCCAGGGCCATCCCTGATGGAGCAGCACCAGGATGTGCCCGCACTGGGTGCTGCAGCCCGCATGGGACAGTGATTGTGGTGTGGGACCACCCCACCGTGCTCGTTTGCATATTGGGGTGGCTATGGGGGAAAAAAATTACCAGTGCCCGCGGTGGCAGCTTCGTGCTGGGGCTGCGGGCACTCGGCCTCGCTGCGTTGTCCCCAGGGCCATCCCTGATGGAGCAGCACCAGGATGTGCCCGCACTGGGTGCTGCAGCCCGCATGGGACAGTGATTGTGGTGTGGGACCACCCCACCGTGCTCGTTTGCATATTGGGGTGGCTATGGGGGAAAAAAATTAAAAATATATATATGTGTGTGTATATCTGGCATCTGCAATGCAAAGGCAGCCTTGCTGATGTGAAATCGCACTCTATATTCTGCCCAGGTTTATACGAGTGAATTATGCAAATCTGTGATGGAAAACATTCTTCCTCTCATCCTCGGGAGTGTAAAACCTTAGTCAATAATTCATGCCCGCACGTCTCAGACTGGAGGCTTTCTCTTCATTATAGTGTGCGCTTGGTTATTTGTCTTTCACGTTTTATTGTCTACCCCGGTGTAATGCTATGCATTATAAAATTTATCTGCTTCATTATTTTATGATCCTGAGCTGTATAATGCAGCGAGATGATTCCGCTCCGGGCGGCGCGTCTCCCCATTGGGGTCTGTGGGTTGGCCAGGGCCGGGCGGCCCCCAGTCGTCCCTTGGGCGCACGGGTGACCCCCTGCCTCCCCACAGTCCCGGCCATGATCACCTCCCACCCCAACACCACCATCGCCATCAAGGGGCAGACCAAGGAGCTGAACTGCACCGCCCGGGGCGAGCGGCCCATCATCATCCGCTGGGAGAAGGGCGACACCGTCATCGACCCCGACCGCAACATGCGCTACGCCATCACCACCAAGGACAACGGCGACGAGGTCATCTCCACCCTCAAGGTGAGGGACGGGGTCTTGCCAAGCTGCTGGGGATTTGGCGGGCGATCAGCTCGGGCTGGGAGCAGGCTGCGGTACCAGGGGATGGCAGGGTCATGGTGCTTGGGGTCTGAAGTGGCTCCACTTCTCTTTCTAAAACATTTCTAGCTGAAACCAGCGGACCGCGGGGACTCGGTCTTCTTCTCCTGTCACGCCATCAACTCCTACGGCGAGGACAGAGGCTTGATCCAGCTCACAGTCCAAGGTATGTGCTTCCCCATGCACAAGGTCCTGCTCCTGGGGGGCTCTGTTCCACGTGATCCCTAACCTGCCCGTGTCCCCCCAAGAGCCCCCGGACCCGCCGGAGCTGGAGATCCGCGAGGTGAAAGCCCGGAGTATGAACTTGCGATGGACGCAGCGGTTTGACGGCAACAGCATCATCACCGGCTTCGATATCGAGTACAAGAACAAGTCGGGTAGGTGGTGGTGGCCTCCTGTCCCCATGGGGCTGGGGGCTGCGTCCCAGGGCCAGGCCATGCAGACAGGTGCAGGGCTGCCCCATCAGCACCGCCAAGGGAATATCCCGCATCCCTTTGATGAAGAAAGGAGAGCGCAGCGTTAATGAAATATGCTAATTTCTGTTGGATGGGAGCATTTGAAAGGGAATATTAAAAGAGATAATATTTGCGGAAAGCCAAACCTTGGCTGCACAACAGCGAGGAGGGGGCAAGCGACACCTCTCCAAGGGGGCCAGTGACAAAAGCCAGAGGCGCCTGGGGACTTAACCCACCTGAACACGGCCCCTTGGTACCACAGACCCCGGGATGGGGTTCGGCTGCTGCCTCTCCCCCCATCTCACTCCCCTGCTTTTCCAGATTCCTGGGACTTCAAGCAGTCCACGCGCAACATCTCCCCGACCATCAACCAGGCGAACATCGTGGACCTGCACCCGGCCTCGGTGTACAGCATCCGCATGTACTCCTTCAACAAGATCGGCCGCAGCGAGCCCAGCAAGGAGCTCACCATCAGCACGGAGGAAGCAGGTGTGGCTCCTGCTGGGCTGGGGGGCAGGGGTGGCAATGGGCAATGCAAAGCCCGAAGCTGGCTGTGGTAGGGCTCGTATGTTCCCAACGAGGAGGAAAACACGTGTTGATGCTTCCCAACACGCTCCTCTGGGTCTGTTTCTCCGCAGCTCCCGATGGGCCACCCATGGATGTCACCTTGCAGCCCATGACGTCCCAGAGCATCCAAGTCACCTGGAAGGTGAGCAGGGCCAGGGCTGTGTGTCCCTGGCCATGGGAAGGGGATACAAGGGCCAGGAAGGATTGGCCGGGCAATACGGAAACCCAAAGACCGGGTGTGCAGCAGGGCCCTTATGAATGATGTATTACGACAAGCTCATCATCTCATAGGATGTCTGCGGGGGGCCACGAGGAGAGGATAAATATGTAAACACTGAGATGCTGGGTTGCAAAACGTTTGAGCAAAGATCGATAAAATTTAGCATTGGATTTATTTTTCTAAAGGTGTGTAATGAAAAATAAAATTGATTATAAAGTTAGGACTTCGGAATGAACTGCTTAGTCAATAAATTTAGAGGTCCGGCTTCTCCCCCTTCCCCGTAAGTGCTGAGAAGCAGATGAATGGAAAATAAGATTCACTTGAAAGACAAGTCGCTTCGTTTTAAGAGTATTTCAATGAGATGGATCGCCCCGGCTTTGTAACATAAATTTGCAATCAACCCTATTGATTTCTCAGTGCTTCAGAAGAAATATTGTTAAGATTGATCTCGGCCTCCCTTGTACGTTTTTAAGGACTGGGGTTTTGAAAGGAGAGGTGGCTGGGGCAAGGGAGCCCTGTGTCCTTGTTGGGTGGTGTAGCCCTGTGTGACACCGCTCCATCCCGCACCCCCTGCTCCTCAGGCCCCCAAAAAGGAGCTGCAGAACGGGGTGATCCGTGGCTACCAGATCGGCTACCGGGAGAACAGCCCGGGCAGCAACGGGCAGTACAGCATCGTGGAGATGAAGGCCACGGGCGACAGCGAGGTCTACACGCTGGACAACCTGAAGAAGTTCGCCCAGTACGGGGTGGTGGTGCAGGCGTTCAACCGCGCCGGGACGGGGCCGTCGTCCAGCGAGATCAACGCCACCACGCTGGAGGATGGTGAGGATGTCCCCGTCACTGGGACGGGTCACGTTCCCTGCTCCTGAAGCCAAATCCCGCCTGGGGGCACTCCCAGCCCTTGCACCCTGGGCCGCGTTTGTGGCACGGTTAGAGGGACCTCAGTGTGCATTGACACACCGAGGCACCAGGGAGGTTTCCATCCGAGAAGGATCGCTGGTGGCCTCTGTCGTTTGAAAAAACAACGAGGAAAAAAAGTTGGGAAGTGTGTTTACTCAGCAGTTTTTCATACTTAATTAAGGCTCTCGTTAGCCTGTCAAACCGTGATCGTTTCCTGGCTGCATTAGCACTCCTCCTGGGGTATTCAAGGGCCCCTGTTTTAGCAGTAGTGTCTTTTCCGTAATTATATTACCTTCATTTTGTTCAAACGGACTATCTGTATTAGTTTATTATGCTCGGTCCCTAATTACATGGTGCTTATATTTTTGCACCTAAGTAATACGAAACAATAATAATTTTCAAAGAGGATCGTTACGGTGATGTATTATCATTTAAACGCTCATAAAAATTAGAGTTACCTCTTCTGGGGCAATGGGATCTCATTACCTCTCATCCAGCCAGCTCTTTGCTGAGAAGCACAGCGGGTCCTGGTGGCCTCCCTGTCCCCATCGGCTTGGGGGTTAAACGCAGTCTCGGTGGTCCAGGATGGGTAAAGCTGTGTTGGAGGCTGCGTTTTGGGGGTGAGCGGGGCTCGAGCAGCCAGGGCAGAGGGGCTGTGGTACAGTGGGGTCCCTGTGGGATGTGGCTCCTTCAACCTTGGCATCTCTGCATCCTCCTGCTGAGCATCCCCCATCTGTCCTCTCCTCAGTGCCCAGCCAGCCCCCCGAGAACGTGCGGGCCATCTCCATCACCTCGGACGTGGCCGTCATCTCCTGGTCGGAGCCCCCGCGCAGCACCCTCAACGGGGTGCTCAAGGGGTACCGGGTCATCTTCTGGTCCCTCTACATGGACGGAGGTGAGCGCTCGTGGGGCTGATGGGGGGACCCAGCCGGGGGGAGGCGTG